CCGTCTTCGAGGAGTTGAGAGCCCCTACTTCTACGTCGTTCATCAAACCTGACCTAATCGCTGTTCGAGATCGCCGTGCAACTGTAATAGACGTCAGCATAGACTCGGATCGGCGTGGAGGGACTGTGTGGAATGAGAAGAAGCAGAAGTATGGTGCTGATGAACATTCCCTCGCCATAATCTCAGCCCTACATGCCATCGGTTGTGATATCGACTTTTTGGTTCACCAACCAATGATCATCTCTTATCGAGGGATCTGTTTTCCTCAATCCGCTAAGGCTGTTATTGGACTGGGACTTCCTAAGGTCGCAGTCAGTGACTTGTGTTTGCTTGCCATTGTGGGCTCCCTGCGTACTTATGACACTTTTATGCGTGGCACATGGCGTTGAAGGTACATTTTTGCCATTTAATCTCACACCAGACCCAGTATGACGGTCACTTTGTGCCTGATGTGCGAGTCTTGACTGTGCTAGCGCACACTGCGCCTTGAAGAGCATTCACCGTTGTTTGTCCTTTCTTTGGTTGTTGGTCCTTAGACCCGTATTCCCATACTAAAATCTTCACATACTTTGGGATTCACCTCATCAGACTGGCACTGCCCTTGGCATGATCTCGAATGAGACGTTCCCCTCTTTTCTCCCATATTCTCCTGTTACTCTTTCGCATTCATCGCTTGCACTCACTTTTTATGTTTGTGACCATTCTCTTCAAAAAATAAATGATGATGATGATGATAATAATAATAATAATAATAATAAGTAAGTAAGTGAGCAAGTAATTAAGTGAATAATTGAGTGAGTAAATAAGTAAATAAGTAAGTAAGTAAGTAAGTAAGTAAGTAAGTAAGTAAGTAAGTAAGTAAGTAAGTAAGTAAGTAAGTAAGTAAGTAAGTAAGTAAGTAAGTAAGTAAGTAAGTAAGTAAGTAAGTAAGTAAGTAAGTAAGTAAGTAAGTAAGTAAGTAAGTAAGTAAGTAAGTAAGTAAGTAAGTAAGTAAGTAAGTAAGTAAGTAAGTAAGTAAGTAAGTAAGTAAGTAAGTAAGTAAGTAAGTAAGTAAGTAAGTAAGTAAGTAAGTAAGTAAGTAAGTAAGTAAGTAAGTAAGTAAGTAAGTAAGTAAGTAAGTAAGTAAGTAAGTAAGTAAGTAAGTAAGTAAGTAAGTAAGTAAGTAAGTAAGTAAGTAAGTAAGTAAATAAGTAAGTAAGTAAGTGAGTAAGTAAGTAAGTAAGTAAGCAAGTAAGTAAGTAAGTGAGTAAGCAAGTAAGTAAGTAAGTAAGTAGGTAAGCAAGTAGGTAAATAGGTATGTTTGAATTCGATTCGAAAATTACACACAAAAACTTATGGCTAAGTAGCATCAGAGCACAAGGGTTTCATTTTCTGACTAAGTGATCGCGGGCGCATTTTGAAGTAGGTAAGCAAGTAGGTAAATAGGTATGTTTTACCGGAATTCGAAAATTACACACAAAAACTTATGGCTAAGTAGCATCAGAGCACAAGGGTTTCATTTTCTGACTAAGTGATCGCGGCTCTGGCGCATTTTGCACGCAGATTTACGAGAGGGAAAAGAAGGTCAGTTGAGTCAGTTGAGTTGAATTATGATTCAGATTTCAGTTCATGTTTAAAGTACTGGACTAAACCCAGTCAGTTTTTACCAACTTTAAACTTATCATTTAGTGAACACATTGAGTTGTGAGTTTGGAGCATACAAAAGGAAAAGCTCAATAATAATATCCTAAGTGGATATTTACAATTTACCTCACCACCACGGATCATTTTTTGCATGCATCAGATGTTTACAAATAAATATTTTTTAGCTGAAGCACGGGATGAAGTACGATCGGGCGTATTGAGAATGAGTACAGACAAACTGGGTCGAAGCATGGTCTGGATATTGTAAAAGAGTTCAAGCCCATCGAGACATCTATATTTGGAACTAGAACTACGACGATATAAGCCATAGACGTGTCCTACCACACCTTATAGTTATCACGAATAATCTTCTTCCAGATGTTTTTTGACCAGGCTGAAAACGTGTTCATTGTAGTCGTTTGTGCATCCAGTGCTAGTGACGGTGTGCATTGTCATGTTACGGTTGAATAAGTCAGTGGCGGATGCTAGATTGAAGGAAGGAGTGGATATTTGAATATCGGTTATGCCAATTCGGGTCGGAAGCTGGTAACCAGGCTAAATTAATTCAGCACAGCTGTGTCAATTTGTAAACTGAGACTTATAGCCTAAGCTCAACGAAAGAGTTTGGCAGTGTCGGGGCAGCCGTCACAAACAGGCAGTTAGAGTGCTCCTGCAGAGAAGTGCTTTGTGTATTATCTAAGTTGAGAACATATTGATTGTACGCGCTTAAATTCGCTTTAGATAGTTGACTTCGACCCATGTGCAGTGATAGCACAGCCCTATCTAAAATTGTACACTTCAGGTGTAGTTCGTGGTGCAAACCTACCGTTATTAAACGGCCACTGATACAGGAGTGGCGGTGTATACTACTGATGATACATGAGAGTAGTATGTGGTTTTCCCGTAATTCCACCTCGCGTCTAATGGAAGGTGGGGTTTGTTACCGAAACTGTGGAAATGCTCTACAGTATTCGTCTGCGATTGCATGCTAGTCAGTGAATATCCAAGAAAGTTCAAGAAGATGTGTGGGAATGTACAGTTTTGAAAAATAGGCGTATGAGAAGTGTTTACTCTCCATTCCGATAGTTTGTAACTGTTTATTTGGCGTTCGATAATAAACAATTCCGCTACGAAGGGCTTTCCTCCTTACACAGGTAGGTGTGGTGTTGACTGACCAACATGATTATCTGGGTACTGCTGGCCAGTTAGGCCTTTGGTATTATGTTGCTGCTCATTTATGTTCTTCACTTGTACTAGATGCGCTGAATCACACTTTATGCGAATGTGTGTGTCCTTTAGGAGATTGCCAGTGGCCCCGACTACGTTTTCCATGTGGTGTGTTCGTTCTACAGACTATTGAAATAGCCTGTTGATCAGCAGNCAGGGCATTTACTTTCTAAAAACTCGCCACTTGGTATGACAAATGGATTTGTATGTAGTCCGGTGACTTTGTGTCATGTTTCCAATATCTGAGCGATTTACATGTAATAGGTGTCCCTTCCCAGGACGTTCCCGTGACTCTGATTGGCATAGGGTCTACAGCAGAACGAGTCAGGGTTAGCTCAGCAGATGGGGTATGAATACGCATAGATGAGTACTTCTGTTAGGTACATTCACACACACATGCTAGTATATCATCGTCGGAGGATTAAACCATGCGGCAAAGTAAGCGCGGTGCAGATCAGCGAAAAAAGTGGTGATCAAACGTATGTGGTATAGTAAGCAAGGGAATGGGGTATTATCATTATGTCAAATTGGGTTCAGTACTAACTGACGACAAGTTAACCTTCAGAGAGCCATACTTGAATAACCAATCATTAAGACTATTGCCCATAGAAACAAAGTTTGACATCATTCTTCTAGAAGATGGGAACCATTCGAAACGGTACTTATTTGTTGATTCAGGCCTCCCTTCTACTCTTGGGAAACCTTGTGAGGCATTTGAAGTAGACCTGGTTTCTTTGTTTGGCCTCACAAATTTTTACTTTTCCGTAAGGATGGTGTAGAAAAGTGATTTTTCTCAGTTTATCTTGCATTGCGCGTATAATGACAGACAAAACTGTACAAGACCAATTGAATCTGCAGCAGTTCTGTTCTTACTTCCTCATTCAGAATGATCTGGGATTCGATGCCTTAGATATACCTTCTCAATACTGAAGTAGTTTTAGTGGAGCCATTCCTTCTAATTCTGCATGGGCATGGTACATTTTACTAGTACATGGTCATTTTGACCGTAGATTTTTTTAAAATTATACAGCTTTTCCATGCTGACTGTTGTGAGGAGCTGGATGATAACACTAAATAATGAATGAAATACCGTTGCTTTCATTTTCGGCCCAGAGAAGCCAAAAAGTAAGGATGTGACACGACACGATATGACACGACAAGAATAGTAGAACCCTAGTATGTGCTGGCTGCGCCGCTATCGAAGCGGCTGATGACTCTCACCTAGCAGGTACAGCGACATAGTTGACTGCGTCTACGCGTACCTGCTTTGCATGTCTCTTAGTCCGGTCATTCGTACGAAAGTTGTTTTGAAGATGGTTGACCAAAAGGAAAAAGGTCTGAAATGCGTATCAGCCACAAAAGAACAGCCGACGGGGTATTTTCTGTTTATCTGTAATATTTCTAATTTGACAGTCCAAAGAACACCGAACTAAAGGATTCCTATAGAGCCACTGGGTAAGTTGTCACTTTGAATGCGTTTACCATCACTGGAGTTGTGGAAAGAGAACTAGCGCGTGTGATCCACCGCAAAAATGCACCGCTGGTGCCTTTACTTGGTGACCCCGTTTTCCATTCGATCAGAAAATTTTCGAGATACTGAATTGACTGGACATCTAAATAGCCCGATTCGCTTGTTAGAAGAGAACCCGCCTGCTGGATTTGTGAGCGCAGCCATCCGGTAGGCTAACATGGCGGCGAACGCTTTCAAATTACGGCATTCAGCCACACAGTGACGATAGATCACTTCCGTCACATAATTCGTCAGTTCCATTTTAATTTTGAAATCTTATGAAAGCTAAAGTGGTTGTAAAAATGGGAGGCATAGTCTAAACCTTTCCTAGAAGCGCCAAAGAAATCTACCAACCGAATTTTTGCTTGCTATCGACGGACGCTTGATAGATCACGAATGGTGACACGTGAATGCCGAACCAACACGACATGTTGGTAGCTAGCACTAAAATATACGTACGATGTACCCATATATTTTGGTGTATTTGGACATGAAGAAGGGACAGGCAAATGTTAGCTGTTAAAGTGGTACACTTGAATATCTCCCAACAATGTGAGGTGGTTGTACCACTTGCCGCGTCCTAAAATTTAGTTTCAAAACGCTTACCACTTGTGTAGGATGCATCATTTCTCAGTGTTTTGAAAGGAATTTTGGTGAAGGAGTTACTCGTCCGGGTAGCCTATTTCTTCAGGCGATTTAGGTGTTTTGAAAACTCGGCCTCCATCCGAAGACGCAAGAAACTATTTCCTGTAACAGACTGTCGGATAAAAACATTTGACATGCTGCCTTTTAAACTTAAACTCATAATCCAAAGCTTTAGATCAGATAAGTGAATCAGTGGAAAACCTATTAGAGTTTATTGGACGTCAGACAGACAACTTCAGACAACTTTTCGCACGGTTCAGATTTGTTTCAACTCCGCCAGGTATTCGACTTAATACCTTTTCGTGAAGTTATTATGGAGTCAAATAGCCTTTTTCAACTTGTCTCAACAAACGGTTGGAGGCTATTCAGATCTCCGCAGAAACATTTGGTGGATGACGCTCCATAACCATGATCCTTACTTACGAAGGAAAAAACGCTCTGATTTTAGCAACTGCAGCAAGACCGTCGTGATGATTGCAGCTTCCGAAGTAATATAACTGTCATTTGACGAAGACTGTAAGCGTGAATAAACCGTCAGTGAAGAGCAACTCGTTATGTGATTGGGCGGAAGATATACGGATCACCTGTGGACTGTAATCAAGTGGTGGAACCCTGTCAAAGCCAAAGAATATAGTAATCTGCTTGTGAAACAGAAATACCGCGGACGCAACTGGCAAGACTGCCTTTCGGTAATGATAAAGGAGTCGGATCCTAAAGGCAGTTAAGAGTCAAAGCGTCAGCATGGCAAAAGAGTTACTGTCATCGTCACAGCAGAACTCGCAAGACACCTGGGTCAGCGACCGAAGCTAATGACCAAGAAGGCACTCCAACTTTGGAGGGTTCTCTAAGTAATGGTAGATAGATAGTGGATTTCCGCTTAGAAAATAAATTTACTTGAATCAGAGCTACCAGGTTTTGTTCTTTGTAGTGTTGGTTCTGATAAATTAAACAGGAAAAAAATTTACTACTTGAGACAAGTCATATACAGGTTCATAAGTGACACTACTTACAAGGTTAGTTAAAATCATTCATCAGTCCACGAACGGTTTTGCCCTCCTTGGTGCTCATCAAGTAGGTGTCTCTCAGCCTCCACTCGTTGCTAGTTAGTTTCTGTCAGCCGAGAGCTGCACAGACAAGCATGATAAGAGGGCACAGAAAATCGTTCTAGGTAACGCAATTAATTTTCACTAACAGGGATAATTCAACGACGCTTTTGTTGTCCATTTAGAAAGTAGGAATGTAATTGTCTCATTAGTTGTTTCTAATGGTCTGAAAATTGGTCAAAGTCAACACACTTTGCGCCACATGCATTCGGAACCACTATTCCTTCAAGGTTTCTGTGCGGAAGGAACGACTCAGTGAGAAAAATTTCGAATGAATGTCCTTTTCAACGGATGGCTAGGCTGGTATGGAGAGAGAATCCCTCATCCCAACAGGAATCCTGCAGCTGTCGGGCGTAGAGTACGAATATGCGTATGATGTTTCTAACGAGGGTCGTCGCAGCTCAGTAGCAAAGCTGAGACGTTGAGCTGAGAAATCGTAGTGAGTTGCTAGACACAACCACCAACTCACCGCTACGCACTACTACGTTCCACAATAATGCAATGATAATGTCACCTCGATTGGTGATGAAACGCTTGCAATCAAATCGCCCAGCTCAGCGAACAAGCCAACGACCACCATCTACGCTACCTGAGCTACCAACATTTTCCTCTATAGGAGACTAGAATCCTTGCATTTTGGACGATGTCATGGCTTCCTGTCGGCATAAGATCTAGTTGTTTCACTTAATTTATGATATTTAGAGTAAGGTTAATATTTCATAAATCCTATTTGTCAGGGTCGACGGGAGGCGGCAAAATGCATTCTGAGTATTACGGTGTTGTGTAGCGTGAATGTTGGGCCAGAAGTACTGCTAATATTTTCACCTGGATGAATTATGCATCGAAGTTACTTTTCCACAAGATATCTGTCTGGTCTAAGGACATGAGCTGCTCTATACATGTATTACAGTATTAGGATATGATTGCCAGTGTGCCATTGTTCGGGATTAGATTGCCTGTTTATTGTAGAGGCGTCGCTTGTACTGTTTACACAATAATTCTGGCGCAACCTGCGCGCGCCTTTGGAGCAATCGCATCACGCTCGCCTTGCATGTCAGCTATCCAGCCACGGCCAGGTGTTGCACTCATGATGAACTCTAGTGAGAGTATGATTAGAGTTACGTGCTCTTTTGTTTTGGACCAATAAGAATAATTGCGTGGGGGTGGGAGGATGACTGTTTAAGTGGCGCAACTTCTAGAAATTCTGCATCTACCGGCAAACTTAAGGATGCTTTTGCCTACAGTACCTCCATGAATTATTCAAGGAATTGGGATAATCAATATGAACGGCTTTGCGAATCAGTTATCTGCCAGCGATACCAAAAGTAATCGTCAGTGAGGACAACTTACCTCAGTAGAAAAAGTGGAAAAGGTTGACCGAAAATAAGACGTACCGTACGGTACAATGTGCTCACAACCGATGTCGCCCAATTGGAAGAAGTAAACTCAGACCTTGCTAATTAACTGTTTGAAGCGTGATAGCCAAGCCTAAATAGAAGGCCGCAATTATTCTAATTACTGACAAATTTTTCCACTTTTCACCGGCTTCAGAAGCATTAGTGGAAGAATTAGATGCGCGAAAATCAAAGCCATCTACATTTATGCCCCTTAATGCTGCCAAAAGCTCCACTGACCAATTTTGCTTCCATATATTGGAGGGATTTGAAAGGCAAGAATCTTGTAGTTTTTGATGTCCTATTCAAAGTGTTTCATGAAGTTTTTTTACCCTTCTGTCAACATTTTTCGGTTGACGTTGCATAGAAATGCTTGCTAATTTGGGCATACTGGTTGGTTTCCTCGATATGACCCGAATTATAGGATTAATAAACACGTTTAGATGGCATATTGACTCTGAAGAAATTGTACAGCATATCCGTCATTGTGTTAGCTATACTATGGAGTTTTTATACCGGTAAAGTTATGGACAAGTGCGTTCATAGAGGATCTGCACTCTTTATCCATGATGCCTGCGGAATCAAGACTTGGGTTTTGGATTGCTTAAATGATGAACTCAGTTGTTCCATATAAATAAGAAGAGCCTGTGCCTTTTTGATCACGAAATAGGCGAATGTAGGGTAGTTGTGCTATATGCGTTGGCGAAGGGAAAAGAAATAATGTTTCTTCAGAACAAGGTCTACCCGATTTGTCTCAGGAAGAGCGGAAACCATCGTGGGCTGTTAGAGGGTTTTCAGCAAATTTATCTCTGGTTTTCTTCAATGGAATAAAAACAGTTTTATCGACCTTGAGTACAGTTAAGACTGAACCATCTGATGTTGACTTTTTCCAAATTGCTTGGTCAGCTGTCAACCATAGTAACCATGTTTTAATTGCTTCATGCAAAATCCTTTGGAAAATTCGCATGTGCCGAATGGCGTTGAGCATTGTTGTACTGGAAAACTTCTGGTCGAATTGGTCCATCTCGTCCTCTTTATTGTTAATTATTCATGAACAGTCTTCACGTCCACGTGCAACTGATTGACTTTTAGTGCAGAAATGTCAAACATCCTAGCGAGATTGTCTCGTTACTGTTATCATCATTGTACTGACGTGACATTAATCAACCGTTGTTTGTTAACGGTTGATGTCCAGTTGTTCTGTGCCATCCTATCCCATGATGTGACAATCGGCCATTAGAATGGGACCTGTGAGTCTGGAACAATGAAGCAATGGAGACTGAGATGTGTCATTTCAAACAATCTAGCACATGTTGTAAAAATGGTGTGGTGGAAGCATACAAAATCAATAAAATAATTTCATGTAAACAGAAGTTTGAGTGATTTACGGGAAAGTTTGGTATCAATCGGTGGATCTATTACTGGGCAAGGTTTCGCTTCGTCAGCCCAAGTGACTAGGGGGGTTGGTGGAGATCTAAGGAATAAGGAAAACGAATCAGCAAAGTTAAGCTTAATCTGTGTTAGATACTGGATAAGAATTTTTGTGTGTTAGGGTGGGTCACCAAGCGTGAAGCTGATGGAGAAACCTAAACGGATTGAGTCCAGCTTAAGATCCAATGCTTCTGGTTTACGTAATGATCTCCCTTGCACATCATTTGCACTTTTAGTCCGTGTGGATGAGCTAGTGCCACGATAGATGTGTAAGGAGGGGGGATTCTCTGACCTTTGGTCGGGTTGGGAATTCCATTCCCTCTTTTCGGTAATGATGGTACGCGCACCAAAACTACACAGTCACGTGTCAACTCGGTTCATCTAAGACCGCTCTCCATACGCTTGCCAGTTCCATAACCTCGATTCTATGCACGCTATGATGCTTGGTAATTTCCACCGGTTCGGCTATCAGCCGGTGTGGTGCGAATCACGGTCTCCCGTCTTATAACTTCTGCATTCTCCAGATCTGTTCTACGTCCTGTGTCTAAGTAATGTACCGCCACCGCCAATTCTTTGATCAGCTTTTGGTATTCTTTCATATTTATTGGTGATTTGTTCATCTTCCTTTCAGATTCATCAATTCCGATGTGCAATCCCCTGACAGTTAACCCTAGTGCCGTCGTTGCAG